ATAATAATATGAATGATAGAAGCGGCATTGACATTACCGATTATAATATATGACTCACTGGTCATACATATAGTTAATGATTTAACCGTGAGGTATATAATTATTTTACGGCGACCACCGAGTCATTGTGTTGGTATTTTGAATTTAAAAATATCTGTTTTAAGCTTATAGTACTGACCATCGTAGTTTGATATAGTTTTCATATTTTCAGATCAACGTTATTAGTATTCTTCGATTGATTAGATATCGATATCTGTACTAGATATATCTTAATTTTAGTGCATTTGTAATAACTAAAGTTAAATATAGTATATATATACTTACATTTACTTATATTTTTTTATCTACGACTGTTTCGTCCTTCAATTACTGTATACAGTTATCCGTGTGTTATTCTGTCCATTTTATTCTATAGAATTTATCACTTGAACTTCTTTGTAGTAAAACTCATAGAAATTTCGAAAAGTTTTTTCATTTTTGTAAAAAAAAATATACACAGTTTTTATGTTTAAAACAAGAGTTGGTAATAACGCCGAAAATAAATTGTGTACCTATATAATATACAGTGCCGGATTAACCATTTGTGGGCCCCTAGGCAATTAAAATTTTGAGCCCTATACAATTATTTTTATATACATCATCAACATCACTAATCAGTAATTAAAATAAACAGATTTAATAATAACCAACTATTATTAATAAATAAAATCGTGTTTATTATATTTTTTTATTTGCGGGAAAAATTAATTAATTATTATATTGTTTCTATTTTTTTCAAAACAATCTCATTATTATTACTGCTCGTAATACCTAAAATTGAATATATATATATATATTACATTTCATAATGACTTTTGTCCCGTATATTCGTAAATAAAATACATGTAAATATTATCGAATAAAAAAATATATAGTTTTCCGTTTTCACAGGGCCTCTTATATGAGTGAGGCCCTAAGGCGGGCGCCTACTCCACCTAATGAGTAATCTTGCACTGATAATATAATATATATCCATATAATGTAAATGTATTCAGTAATGCAATAATGATTCTATTACTCATCATATATGTTTCATCATAAACTCATAAGCTGGATGTGTGAGATTTGTTTAGTAATTTTCTAAAATTATTCCCAAGTCTTTCAAACTATATAAATACAATTTATAATTTATTTTAAATTATTATAAATACATTTATAGTTTATATGTGAATTTGTACTAAAATGTAAGTAAAATTATAAAACACGTTATTAAAATCTCCTCATAAATGGTAGCTTAAATTCATATTCTAAACTATTTCTTTAATGTCCCCTTGGATTTAAAATATATATATTGCTAAAGTTATTCAGTATTGATTTTTTAATCCCTAGTCAAGGATGTACTTAACTCTTTTGTAATAAAATAATAACTAACAAGCTAAAAAAAAATGTCTATTTCATTTCTCATTGACTCGAAGAGAGGCCAACGAAAATCCAAAAACGGAATCCAATCATTATTATATTTTATTGTTAACGCAACATCGTGTAATACGTTTTCTGCGGTTATTGTTCGAAATATATATATTGGTGTAGTGTATATAATATATTAAACAAATTAATTTTTTTCGTCTAACCCTTTTATGTAAGTTTAATTTAATTTTAATATTCATAATTCTTTAGTAATTTTAAATCACTACAACATAATATTTTTGATAAGAAATAATATTTATAAGATTCATAAGTAATTTAAAATTAATGATTCGATACTTATATAATGATTTTTTCAGAAAAATATTCTGCACCACATTAGATAATTAAAAGTAAAATACAGATTGTTATTTAAAAATGTAAAAAATTATAACGATGTCGGAAATTAATATTTTTTTTTTTCAAAAACGTTAAGTAAAGTAATATGGCATATTCATAATTTTACCAAATAAATTTTTATATTGACCAAAAAATTAATGTATCTATTCGAAAATATCACTTTGTAATAAGCGTGTGAATATATATTATAGCAAAATGTATGAGTACTTGTGTGTTCGTCGTTCATAAATTTGGATGGATTTCACCGATCCGGCTATTTAGTTCGTGACTTGAATAAGTACAGAAAAATATTATAATTTATAAAAATGCGTTACACTTGGTTTAGTTAACAATTTTGTCTGAATACAATATTGAACAATTTTTTAATTTTTATTCGTTAAATTGTTTAAAATACTTCTCCCGTGAGCTTGGATCTAACTCTTTGTGAATTTGATGGATATGATCAGTGTTGGGACTTATCTAGATAAATAACACTAAGTTTTCTAATTACTTATCTAAGATAAAATTTTTACTTCTCTAGGTAATTGTATTTAGATAATTGTCTGTATTCTTGCCAAGATTAGAGTTATTTTTATTCTTATAAGGAGACGAATCTAACAAATCAGAGATCATCAAAATCGATTACCCGTTCTTGAATTATAAATTTTGTAACTAACCTGACTATCTTTTGTACATATAGATTTTATATTCATAATCATAATTCGTGTATTATAAATAAGTAATTATTTTTTCTTGGTATGACATTTTGTTTGTATTTTCATGTTGAAAAAATATTTTTTGGTATTTTTAAACTTAATTTCTTATTTTTCCATGGAAGTTCCAAATATAGTTGGTATTTGATTTTAGTATACACATGTAACTATGTAACTCATACGCTGAATAGTCATTACTACACTCTTGGAACTCATAAAATCGTAACAACTTATAGCATAATGAAAATCATCAAATTAATATTATATGGAAAACAATATTGTTAACCTAAAATGATTTTTTATGTATTTTGTATTCATCCTGATACGTACAGAGCAAATTTTTTTTTTGTGTAACATTTTAGTGATTAACTATCATTTAATATTGTACATTATACTCGTATATAAATGCTGCTTAATGGTACACTACATTACTACGATAAACACTAAATACTTAGGTACTTATTGATAATAATGATTATAATCGAGTCTTCATAGATATTAGAATATGAAATATTGATCAAAAAATAACATTTTTTGAAAATATCTTTTTTTTATCTAGATAAAAATGAAATTATCTTTTATTTTTATGTAAAGTTTTTAATTTTTTTTATTTATTATTTTTATCTAGATGAATTTGGACATATTATATTTCATCTTTATCTAGATAAATTTTGCTTTATCTATTCCTAACACTGGATATGATAGAGTGAAGGGATGCATAAGATACATTTTGAAAGTCCATTTACGATAAAATTGATTTTCTTATCTTAATTTCTACAATTGTTTTGAAATTATTACTCAATACTGTTGAATTCAATATTTCGATTTTACTCTATGATACAATATGGTTAATTTATTGAGGTGATACTTAATGTTATTTGGTTACACTAAAATCTCAGGCTCATACGACAACTACTTCATCATATATAGTACGTTGTTATAATTATGTTCATGATTTAGGCATACGTATCATAGTTATTTCAACTTTTACGATATTTTTAGCAGATGACCATTGTTTCATTGGACTTATTAGCCGAAGTGGTTAATTTAAATAAGCGTGTAGCGTGTAGTGCAATACATAGATATACGAAGATTGTTTTCATTCGTAGGAATGTGCGTAATTAATTCTTGTAATAAATCTCTCTGCTCCGTTAATCACGTACACAAAATACGACGTTGTATAAGTATAATATATATATACCGTTGCAATCACATTATCTATGACTATTCATCGAGGATTATAAAGTATAATAGTAACGTTTTATTTTAATTTTATTTTTTTTCCGTTTCAAAGGAAATGTAATTTCACCATGAAAAAAACACATTTTGTATGATATCTTGTAATATTATATACAGTCAAGTCAAAATTATCGATTACCTTATACTCTGCATACTCTAGGTCCCTTCGAATATTAATTAATATTGATATTATTAATTCTCCTATAGAGATTCGAGTCGTCATGACTCAATACTACGGTACACATTACATGGTGTTTGGAAAGCTCGGAAACAGTTCGAATCGTATAGATGTCTAAGGAAAAGATTTCAAGTTTTTAAATACCTTGTATGCGTAGCATACGCCCGCGCTAGAGAAAGACAGGATGAGATAGAACACAATTCTATCATATTGAGATTATAACATTATGTGGTTTCATAAATTATTGTTTCGCTCGCATACATAATATATCATATCGAATCCGTAACATTGACACGCGCGCTCGACCGTACGACCGCAGAAACGTAATCAATCATCGTCGTTGTGTAGGTCATGTGCGGGGGGCAACCACGAGTACGTAATTCAGAAGAAGTACGGGGCAGGGGAGGAGATAAAGCGAACCATTTGTGACTAATAGAAAAACGTCGAACTGCTAACTGAATGTGATTTTACGAAGGTAAAATTTGAAGAAAAAAAGAAATAAAAAGAAAAAATTCTTCTAAACGACAGCGTAGGACTTACCTACGCGATATCGATTGCTGTAAGAACTGTTATTTTACGCTGCGGCCGCATGCCTATAAACCTTTACGTTTTTCGATTCCATACCGAAATCATTGTCGCGTGCTATATTAAACTAATGATAATCATGTAGATAATTGGATCACGGAGATAATGTTGCAGAGAAAATAAAAACGATTTATTATACAAACGCCCTCCCCTCCCCCCGAAATACACACACACAAACACAATCATTGATCGATAGATTTCAATCGGGAAAACAACTTAACGACAACGAACGACGTGACTCAGGGCTAATGCTATATAATTACGTATACATAAACTATTGTAACGGGGCACCGTGCATAAAAAAACAATAGAAAAATATGATCGGACGTCTGCGCGGGGTGTAGTCGTAGCACCATCACTAATATAGCCGTCGCCCGCGCCGACGAATCGCTAAAATCTAAATATTATCATATAAATATATATATATATATATATATATGCGACATAATACAAAATTACATCAATGTAATGCTGCGAGAAACATGCATGCGGGGTGCACTTACTTATGGATCCCCATTGCGGATGCGCCAGGTTGTTGAACCATCCGTCGAACCTCTGTCTTTCGGTATAGCTGAATTTTTTTTCTGCAAATAAAAACAAGATCTATTAACAATACCGTTTAATATGATTATGTATCAAAAACCTAATCATATTTCATGTATACACATAGAGACAGAGGAAGAGAGAGAGAAAAAAGTTTGATATACGGCACGCGGTTAAAGACACGTTCCAACACCCACGTTCCACACCATCGTATATTATTATATACATTGCGACCTGATTATTTTTATCATTATTTTTTTTTTTTTTTTTGGCAATGACCTTAATGAGCTTACAACTCACGTAAACGCAGCCGAATTATTAATGTACAAAATAAAATAACTTATAAAAAAAAAACTTCTTGGGATTACAACGACGGCGGCAATTGTTAAGTAACGCGCACTTCTTAATGTACGTGTATTTGCGCCAAGCCGCGGGATGAAGTAATTTATCCGACAATTCTCACAGTTACACTCTTGCGCACACTCACACACACATTTACACGTACTCATTCCTAACACTAAGAAAACCGTCACGACTCGTGTTTCGATGAGATCGTGAAAACTTCCAGTGGTCCACTGATTGTAGGATAATAACACACGCACTCTTATGTATAATAGTGTACTCATACATCTGCTATACTCCTATTTACTACAACCACGATACGATACGACGTAATAAACTACTAGAGTGTCTAACGTAATAAGCCGTATAGGAACACATCGTCCTTTTTAAATATGTTCGATCGCACGAATAGAAAAATAAAATAATCGGAATTCGACTGCGATAATATTTGGATAACTTTATTAACTTTACCGTCATTGTTTACATATAACTGCTTCATACATTGTAACATATAATACTGAATTACATTATAGATAGATTGTAATTAATTTTTACACTTAAAAACTTTAAACAGATTTTAAGCGGGAACGTGTAGAATAAATTGCTGAACAATTATATGCTCATCAAATCAATATATTATATAGTATAGTTTATTGTACAACCGTGTTTGGTGAAGATTCGTAAGACAGTACGCACACTCGCGTTCAGAGAGTGTTGTGCGCTTTTAATATTTTAATCACGTAAAGCTATGCATGTATATACATAGTCCGACGAACGATTAAACCGTATCATATAGTATCATGTCAGTACGAGAACACTGGGCAGGGAGGTCGGTAAGAAAATACTGCGACAATAGCAGTTGCAGCTGCACGCTGTCACCCGGCGGCTACGGAGTTGTGCGTTTAATTAACGTGCAGCGATCTCGAAGGATAATGTAATTATATCATGTGTATTCTAATTACAATACCGTTTTACTGCAACAACACGAGGATGTCTATTCAATATTGCGGTGGTGACTCTCAGCAAAACATTTACATTTTATGCGTGTTCATACTGGTCTGCAGCAAGTCGTCATGAATTATATACGAACACGTCAAATCGACCGATCTAGGCCAGCTAGATATCAGACGACGACCGCGATGAATCTTATACCACCTAACCTACCTAACCTCTTGGAATCGGGGACGTGTAATGCAGAAATACGCGCCGGTAATATTACACATATTATTATTACAATTACTATCGAATATTAAATTATTATATATTGTTTGATCACTACGTACGCTGACCATCGGGAGGTGTTTGATCGTTGGATTTGCTTTTTTATTTTTCTTTTAATTCGATACTTGTTCCAAAACTCAGCCCAAAAGGAATTTCAAGTCCTCGGAGGATTGTCGTCGCTGTTTTTCCATATCGATTGTGTATGACGTTTCAAATGTTCAACTATTATAAAATAGTGCGCACGCCTAACTTCTTATGTACATATGCATGATAGTGTGACTACGTGGTCGAAGATTTCCTCTCGAAACTTTGCGAATCGTTCTCGTTGTTAAAAAATTAATATTTTTGTCAAAATAGGCGCCAATGCACTTTCCAGTCCACAATATGATTTTGCGTTACCCGACGATGCGAATTTCTTGTACTTTAGACACTATCGATTCGCGTATAATCTCTTTACGATAGTACACACTCATCCGGTCGTCGGGTTAAGTGTATACGCTTAATAATAACATTGTCGCCGTATAAATATACAACAATAGAGCAATCAATCAACGGCATGCACGTTATTACGCTCAATTGGCTGATATAACACATGTAATATTACATACTAATACGTGTTACGCTAATATGGCAGTGCACACACCTGATCCTTTTTCGGTATTTATATCGAGAGCCTGCTCTAATGTTACACATTTGTAATTGGACAAATTATCTTATTCGGATACTGTAATAGCCATGATCTACATGATTGTTGTATGTTCTAGTGAAATTCATTTGGTTTTTAATTTTTTATTTTTTTTTTTTTAACTCGATTATTATACTTCTACATTCCATCGTGTAACTATGTATGTGAGCATGACAGCACGTATAAAAACTATTAGAACAATATACTACTTTTTAGCGTACTATTCATGAAAATGTGATTTATTTTATAATTCACAATAGTCGCTATAATCCAATTTGAATGCATTGCGTCATAATATTCTAATCGTTGTAGTGTTTGTGTATTGTACACGAGTGTTTCAAAACAACAGCTTTACAAACCGCTATAAATCGCTAAGGATAACGTAAGATATATAGCAATAGTGCGCGAGAATCATGAATACACACACATACCTAGAGTGCAATTGTTTTAAGCAAATTGAATAAATTTACATACACAAATCGCACAATGATAACAGTAAAAATAATATGTTGACAAAACAAGGACGCGGTACTCACGAGTTCTGAAATCCGAACGAAATTATCTTCATGTTTCGAGAAAATTCCTAAAAATGTCAACAATCCGCCGAAGGATGTTTTGCGATTTTCACGCCTTAAAACATGTGGACCATATCGATAATCACAATTATAAATCGCAGTCGCTAGACACTATGATAATACAACCCGAGATTTACTCGTAAAGCATTATGGGTTAGCCGTTCGGCGTGCGGGAATAGAAAAAAGTCGTTTTTAATAATTGTCGGTATCGTGATAAAATGTAAACAACGCAAAGATCGGATATGGAAAAAAAAATCAAAATGTAATCATACGACGTGCGTATGTACTTAGTCCGGCGCCCGTTTGAGACAAGAAGTGCAGACGATCACGCGACGTCGCAGTCCGATTGAATATAAATTATATTCTAAATATAATAAAAAGTTGTCGTCATCATTGTCGTCGTCGTCATCGACATCATATGTTAGTGTTGACTATGTATGTGGCTGCGACGATAGAGACTTTAATGCCCGCGACCTAGTGCGGTCGACACTTGGTTCGCCGGGCACCTCGACGACCTCGCCCGAGACGGATCGTCGCGCGATGTGCACACGTGGCACCTACATCAAAGACGAATGCATTTCGATCGGTGCCGGATCCAGACGCGATTTACACGAACATAATGTGTGCACATTGAACGCGTATCGTTAATCATTTTGCTTGCAACACGTGACACGCGGATCAGCCGACCGCAATAACGGGTACGGTAATTAAAATATTAAACTCCTGTGGTATTGTCGCTCACGAGATGAACACGTCAACGGATTACGTACCGCAACGGTTCCGATGGATTATTGTTTTGTTGATTTTTTTTTTTTTTTTTTTTTATCAAATGTGTACGTACGCGTATACGATATTCATACGGTGCACGATACGCGCGGACCGTATGGAATTGGATGCGAAGCGGTTTTCCAACGATTCGGATGCACGTAAAAAACATGAGCTACGAGTCTCGTGTTAAATGCACATACATACATATGCATATATGAGTCAAGGCCTCTTGGACGATAAAACTACATTTTGCTGGTCGCCGTATACACGCGCTCACACGTATAATAACGTATACGACATACATATATAAGTGTGCATTTATATGTGTAACGGACCAGTTTTCATCGATGCTCGTTCGTAATGTTCCCGTCACGATTGCGGCATGAAAATGAAAATCTAGTAAAAACGATTTTTTTCTGATAAAAAATTAATGTGGGGGACCTACGCGTGCGTTCACCAGACGTTATTATGTGCTTTACGACGAAATCACATACGTCCCCCGGGCAAACCGACAAATAGTGTTGTTATTATCATTATTGTTATATAAATACCGTATTTTTCACGACCCACTCGCCTCAGTCGTCTCTCAACCACCACCACTCCTGCATTCGACGCCCGCAATCGCGCAAATCTCGTTTGACACGGCTGCGGAGTTTACGCGCGCACGTGGTTTATGCTGTTTTCGTTTGTGTCCCCGTACATTTGCATATATGTATACATATATTCAAAAAAGTACATGCGTTTTACTCGAATATACAATTATTATTGCACACTTAAATTACATACACGTTAACAATGCGTAGGACGAAACACACGTGTTTTTTTGACGTTCGCCCGCACCAACAGCAGCAACATACGTAATATGGAACGTGTTGATGTTCGCGATTTTCAACATCAAAAGAGAAACTGTACACACTCGGCCCATAGTAACGTTTTTTTAATTCCGTTCCGATTTTTAATATCAGGTTTCAGTCATGAAATCAGATCAAGTCTCTCGATTTTCAAATGTTCTGTATCCATGTCGTCATACATCACGCTTATACGAATATCGTCTTGTGACGTTTTTGAAACGTACATAGTCCGATATGACAATAATGATACATAATAATTTATCGAATTGCGATCGCCTGTTTTCATTATCTGCACGCATGTTTTCAATAATGTTTTTCATTATTTTCATTAAATAATTCGGTTTAGAAAATTTTTTTTTTTTTTTTGTCGAATTTTCTTTCAACGACTACTATAAGTGCACATTATTATAATATCACCTTAAAAGCGCAGTGTTTGGAGCGGGATAATGCAGAGTGACCCGAATCATGTTTTATGATCATTAAAGAAGTTATGAAGCATGACTTAAACCCACACCCTTAATAGTTTCTTACGCATTACTAAATGCTAAAATGTTAATTAAGAAAAAAAAAATGTTTTCTCCCTTATCCATTGTAAATCT